GGCGGAGGTCCATAGATGTCCTTCGTCCTCTTCTCAACATTCGCCTCCAGGTTGCGTTGTAGGTCGAGAGATGTCGTTCTGCTGGAAAAATCCACACTGAGAAGGCAGTGCTCGTCTCTGTTCAAATCTCTCAGAAAGTTTGAAACTGTGGCCGTCTTGCTGGTCCCCGTCTCACCGGCCAACAGAATGGGATGGTGGGAGGACACCTGATTGTTTGCTTACTAATTAGTTAACTTATGAGACGACACTTAATTTTTTTCTCGTAAATACAAATATTTCGAATATTAAAAAATTATTGAAAACAAATTCTCGTTGTAGAAAGCAAATCAGAGCCACCATCATCGTGCTAGTATTTACCTGAAGAGACAGCAGCCAGACAGTCCTCACCGTATCCAAAGTAGGAACGAGAATTTGGTTAAACTTTTTATCGATTTCATGAACGTAAGCAGGAATCTTATCAGACCAATTCATCCATCTCGATCCCTCTGCATCCCAAAAGTAATCGTACAACAAACTGGGACCAGATGGGATTTCACCGAGACCAGCTGATCCCACTGACGGATCAACTTCAGTTAAGTTGGCCAGCGTGCGAATGAACTTATCAAACTTCACACGTCCATCTTCTAGGAGTCCTGCTCCAACTGACCAAATTAGAGATTCCAGGAAATATGATTGGACGAAATCTGAGTTGTGCACCTCACTGTCCGACAGCACGGAATCGAAAAGTTTGGTGAACTGGCTGACCATGTTGAGGTTGGTCAGAGGTATGATGGTCTTCAATCGGTTAGTTTGCACGCCGTCCACAATACCTTCGCAGACTAGGGCAATGCTGGGGATCATGAACTTTTTGTAGAGTCTGATATGGAAGATGCGATCATTGCAGAGGTTGATAGTGAATTTTACAAGCTGGATTCACATTTAATGTATTTAAATTTAATAATAGTTGCTATAGATATATTTGTGCGTTTAGTTCAAATAGCAGTACTTTGTTCATATTTTTAAACTAATTTTACTAGATTTAAAAAAACGAGTAAACTTAATTTCTTATGAAATAAGAAGTTAAATATGGAAACCTGTTGAGTTCCTCCTGCAAAAAAGGGTTGGTCTTCTGACTGACCCACCTCCACCAATATGGTTCGAATCCCAAATTTTTCGGGTCCACGTACACCATGCCGCAGCGAGAGATCGTTGCCGGCGAGGCGTACTGCAGATCGGAAACCTGCCAACACGTGTAAACAATCATCTCGTGCGTGAAAATCTTTTAAATGAAAAAAAGTTTTTTCACGGGATCAACCGTTATTTTAGTAAAACACAAAATTAAATATTCACTAAAAATAAAATAAAGATAAATAAAACCTTAATAAAATATTTTTTTAAATAAGAAACGACCTCGAAAAGCATGGCGCAATGTTTCTGCAACCTAATCCTTTCTCCATTGGCCAGAGTGAGCAGGCGGTTGTCATCCATGACGGAGTTCATGTTCTCGACCCACAATGCATCGACATCTCCGTCAAACACCAAATACTTACGCTCCTGTTTATCACTTGGTCTGTTGATCTCCCTGAAGAGGTTGCTCAGCAAGCCGTCCGTCCAATCGCGCGTGTTTGGATCGAGCACTCCGTACAACTCAACGACACTCCGATCTTTCGGGTTGAGGACGTACAGGCGGGTGGTCAGGCCAAGTCTTCACGGGCAGTTACATGGAAACATCGTGAAATATCAAATTTAAAAAAAATTATAGTAACATGTTTTTTATTCATCAAAAATTATAAAAATTTATATTATAACTGCAGTCTATAATTGTTCTAACTGAAAAACAATGAACTTCTTTTTTGAAACAAATAAATTTCATTTTTATTAAATGGCAACACGCCACAATTATCTCGACAAAATTTTTCTTATGAAAAAAAACTAAATTCTACGGTGAACTCATGCTACAAACTTGGTTTGCGCCTGAGCGAGAGTGTTGATGACGACCGACTTTCCACCTCCCGTCGGACCGACCACCATGGTCGTGTGGCGCGTCATCATCGTCTCGTACAGCTGCACCACTTTGTCGGCCTGACAGCGACAGTACACTCCACAGTAAGTTTCATTTTTTATTTTTTCATAGACTAATCAAATTTTTATAGAATACTGAAGAGTGAAACGCGTTTGTACACCCATCCACAAATTATCAAATTTCAAGACAATTTGTTGTACTTCGATGTACATTTACCTTATTTTCCTCGTGTCTTCATTTTAATCTAATACTCGATGTTCATCAAATTTAACCTTTTTTCTTTATTATCATATATCCATTAATATAATTAGAATTCGACATTCTGCCATTATTACGATAGTCGTGATTAACATTAGATAATAAGATCACGACAAAAACATAAATTACCTGCTGCGGCAACACTTTGTACTTATTGCTGGCCAATATTTCTTCGACGCAATCATTAAAGTTTGGATATCTAAATGGGAAAATAGTTGTTCACTTTAACGGCTTTTTTGAACGACAATTTTAAAAAAAAATCAATCAACTAGTCAATCCTAGAGCCAGAAAGTCAACCAGCCTATCAATCGAGCAACCAATAAATCAATTAGTTAATCGTCCAATCAGAAGCAATGACTTAATCATCCAATCAGTAGCAATGATTTAATCATCCAATCAGAACCAACCTGACTCTCGGACAATCTAATCCAGGAAAAAGATCAGAAATAAGACCAAGAAATAGTGGGACATCTTCAAAGACGAATTTCGGAAGGTTCATGTCTCTCAACGCTCTCATTAAAACAACATCCTAAAATGAAATGTGTGTGTTTTGTGTATGTGTGCGTCTGAGTGCGTGTGTGTTTGTGTATGTGTGTGTTTCTGTGTGTGCGTGTGTGGTACATTTAAAGTTACTAACTCATAAATAAATCATAAAAGCAAAAGGCAAAATATTTAACCAAATCATGTTAGCGTCTATCTATTTAGTAACAAAATAACTCATACATCTATTTACTCATCAACTCATTCATTAATTCATATTCTAGTGAATTAATTTATACAGAACAATTCATAAAATTCAGTTCGATCGGCACCTCCGAAATGTCAGAAGCACCTCTCTTCAATTCACCGGCCATCACAAGGACCGACTTCAGAGCTCTCAGCCCAAAATCGTAGTGGTATTGTTTCGAAAGCTGCTCCTTCGCTAGTTTGTACAACACTGTCATCTTCTTGGCTAAGGTCTAATGGAAATATAGAAAAATAATAATTCGAGTTTAAAGTTAATAAATGTTATAAATGCATGTACGAAATATTGATGTATTGTTAAAATTTTAAACTGCATGCACAAATTCCTTAACGAAGATAAATGTGTGTGTGTGTGTGTGTGTGTGGATATGTGCGTGTGTGTGTGTGTGTATTGGGTATACAGATACACTTACCGCATATGTGTATTTATTTAGAGACATTTATACATCCACACAAATACAAAAATCTCCTATTTACGTACAAGCTCACAAGACAAAATTTGATGACTCACTTTAGCGAGTAAGAATCCTTCCGAGAAGAGCATGATTTCGCAAATTTGTTGAAGATCCGGAACGATGACGACGACAGGTCTGAAAAGGGATTTGACGGACTGAGGAAGTTCAGTCCTTCCTGCGTAGCCGGGATTCATCGTTATGAAGATTCCCACTCTACTGTCCATCGTTATCTCTATCCCTTCAAACTGTCTCGTTTTTTACGTTAATGAATTTTTTGTAAATTCGAGAATTATGAAAAAAATTTAACTTTAACAGAAATAGAAAAATTACAAAAAAATATTTAACAGATGATAATAATTAAAGCACAAATGTAGTGTTAACAATCATTCAGCAAAGCTGACTAGTCCACTATACATTCATTATTCAAATCACTGATCATCATAAACAGCAGACCATCACTAACGACAAATCTGTTCTGATTCTGAAGCAGTGCATTCCTCATGGTTGTCAGTTGGGTGGAGATGACGGATAGGACGGAAACATCGATTCTGTTAAATTCGTCGAAACAACCCCAAGAGCCACACTGACATAAACCTGCAAAAATCTTTCCAACGGCCTGGAAACGTTCAGTTTGAAGAAATTATCATTATAAAACAAATTTATATAGCGAAAAAGTAAAGTATTTACGGATATAAAACTATTGAGAATTGACTTATTATGAATCTGTCAATTTTAAATGAAAAATTATAACGTTTTTGTGAAAAGTGATAATAATTTTTTTTGAAAAAATGTATTGACGATAAACTTTTGCGCAAATATTTAGCTATCATGACCAGCCAACCTTATAATCCATACCCTCGCCACAGTTTGTAACGATGCACAACAACCCAAGTGCCTTCGCCAAATCCTTCGTAGTCTCAGTCTTGCCAGTTCCAGCCGGTCCCGCTGGTGCTCCGCCCAACTTCATGCTCAGGGCTTGGGTCAAGGTCAAGTAGATGCGGTCAGTCAGTGGCGTGATGACCAACCTTCCATTGAGACCCATGTATTCGAATCCGTAGCTAAAGAGTCCAGTGCATTGGCGGATGTTCAGGTAATCCGTTGTTCGGTCCCAGTAGAATCTCAGCTGACTCTCCCATTCGAACTCCCGTGAGTCTAATATACTGTTGGTACGAGTTTGTCATTGGTCTGGATTTTATAGCAGATTCAGTGTACGTTATTGTTTTTATACCATTGAATAAGATTCGTTATATGATATTAAAATATTTCAATGTCGCCAATTTTTTCAAAATGTTTGTTTTCGAATGAGTTTATATGTAGGGCTATTTATTTCATGTGGAAATAAAAAAATCTACGAATGATCAAATGGTTGAACAGATCAAAAAATGTATCAACGAACTAATTGTATAAATTGTATAATGCATTGAAAATAAGAATACAAGCGTCATCGCTCGCCCACCTGTCCCTAACAAAACTGTCGATGATGTCTCGAGCGTGAACGTCAATGATGAGGACGGTGTTGAACTTGGACCTGTCATTCTTGGTCAGTGGCGATCGTATCTGGATGGATGGATGAAGAAAAAAATTTATACTTTGAAACTTTAGCTGAAAATATTAATAAAAAAAGAAAAGGTATTGATTAGATTACGACATTTAACGTAAAAAAAAGTGATAACGTTTGAAATTGAAATTACGAAATGTTTATTTGCCGATTAGTAGAAAAAATGTCTTTAATTGAGGAGTGCATGGCAACCTTGACGACCAGATCATCAATCTGCTTGTGCAATTTTTTTGAATACTCCTTCATGGCGTACTTGTTGCCAGCCTTGACCTTCAGGAAGACATCCTCGACGCCCCACGTCCACCAGACCTGGTTGCCCGCTAAACATACCATGCCCTGGTACTTGCCCATCCAATCGATCCTGATGACGATATGTTAAATAATTATAATTATAATAATAAAATAATAATAATAATATGGAACTTGCCTGGTCATTTTGTCGGCACAGTAGTAATAAACCGCATCTTTCGTTATCAACCTGTCATTTAATGATTATAACATGGTTGATTGTTGAGACTACAAATTTATTTTTAAGTTAGTGTAATTATATTTTTTTATATATTGAAGTGAAATTAAGGTAAATATTTGAAAAATTTTGGCCATAAATTTGCACATTAGATTATAGATAATTTTTAAGGTCTAATTTTTAAGGGTTGAATTACCTGTTCGTCCTTCTCATTTCCTTTTCCGTATGCACCATCCAATCTTCGACCCGGCCCTCGACTAGCACCCACCTCTTAAAATCCATGACCTCTCCCTCTCCCGATACCATTCCTATTGCTGAAATGGATGTTGATGCTTTTGTGACTTTGCTGGGTTTTTTTGATGGCGATTTTGCTGGATCATCTTCATCATTGGTTTGGTTGTTGTCCGGGTCGTTGTTTTCATTGCTGTCGTCATTGTTGTTGTTGATGTTGTTGTTGTCAGTTGTTGCCGTTGTTGTTGTAGTAGTAGCAGTAGTGGCAGCTTCTACGACAGCAGCCGTTGTCGTTTGATGGTCTTCAGTGTCGTCGTGAACTGTCTCATTGTAATGAGATTTGTTAAACTTTAACATGGCAATGTTGTCGAACATCTGAAAATCATTAATTTATACTTTCATTCGTTCATTTAGGTGCTCGTTCGATCGCTTATTCCTTCATTCTATCATTTATTTTTTAATTCATTCACTAATTTTCCGTTTATTTAACTATTCATTCATTCATCCATTTATTTATATTTCATTTAATCAATCATCCCTTCGTTATACTTTTTTAACCAAAGTTTATTTTTCCATTATAAGAGTTACATCATGAAGTTAAATTGCCACTCAAACAATGAATAAAATAATAATTGTATTGAGAATAAAGAGTAAAAAATAATGAATGATATAAAATAATAATATAATTTAGAAAAAGCAGAAATCAACAAATTAATAATTGAAATCGAAATTTCAAAGCGATCAATCAGCATGACGACCTTGACCATGTGTTCCTGGACGCATTCGGGTTCACTGCTCCCAAGTATGCTCAACAGTTCGTCATCGGATATGAAAAAAAATCTGTGAAAGAAATATCATCATGTTGTTTTGTTTTGTGTGTGTGCTTGTGTGTGTGTTTTTGTGTGTGTTGGGTATGTGGATGTGTGTGCGCGCGCGCAAAATTTGTCTTATACTCGCTTGTGATCAAACTTCAAAAAATAATTTTTTCACAAACATGCATATTACGGCATGGCGATCAATCAAACGATGACTGCCATGAGCCAAGCAAGCATTGATGAACGCAACAACGACAACAACAACGTCACTACAAACATATTCAACAATAACAACAACAGTAACAACGCCACTGCAACCATATTCACTCTCCACTCACCATATTCCATCTTTTTCTGTTTTATCTAACTCTTAATAAATCGATTTGAGCAGAATATTTTAGTAACCTTGGGAAAGAGTTTCGTTTGGAATCGAGATAATCATTGAGAGATTTCTGGCACTTTTCAAGGCCCTGTGAGAGTTCCTGCAGCTCTGGGAGACGGTTGTCTTGGTGGCAGGCCCGTTTGATGTTTGGGGATTTGTGGGTGTCTGTCATTATCTGATAGTGGTGGGAAAGACATGATGGTGGTGATGATGATGGTGGTGGTGAAATTATTGCGGCGGTGATGGAATTGTGATCGTGAAGAAGATGATAATGATGATGATGGAATGACGACGATGATGATAATAATAAAATGATGATTAAGATGATGATGATGAGAATAAAATAATGATTATGAATTTAATGAGAACGGTACGATGATAGCGATAATACAATTTTGACAATGGCGATTTGAATAAAACAACAGACTTTTTTGAAGGTTTTGTCAATTTGATCAAATTTCTTAGTCTCCTCAGGTAGCTGAGCCCTGATATCCCCACCGACAAATATGCCCTCCAAGTACATCCACTTACGTTGCACCACCATCCAGACCTTGGAATGGTCATGGTGGTAAAAATGTAAGTGATGTGATGGTGATGGGATTGTTTATGTTTGGATTAATGAGGTTATTATGGATGAAGATGCAGATGATGATGGTGATGATGTTAAATGTTTGGGCTAATGATGATGTCATTATGTAGGGGTAAATTGAAACTGAGAAAACTCAAACTGATTCTGAAAGTAATTAAACTAAAAGTGATATAAATTAAAATAATGATAATATAAAAAATAACAATAATAATAACAATGATAAATAAGATGATAACGGAAATAAAAGAAAATAAAGACGAATGAAAATGAGAAAAAATGCTACGGACGTCGAGAACTTCAGAGATGTGAGCCAGAGACTTCTCCCAATTCTGAACTGAACTCAAGAACGGCCCTATAAATCTCGAAGCAGACATGCCTTGCACCTATGATGATGACAAAGTAACGACGATGAAAATGATGACCATCCTGATGATGATGATGATTATTATTATTATGATGATGATATGGCGATGATAGCGATTAAAAAGGTGAAAATGACAACAATGATGACGGAAAGGACGATCAAATGTTGATTACGTCATAAAAAGATGATATGTAAGAGTAGATAGTATTATTAACATCACGTGATTCAATAACGTAAACGGAAATATTAACATCACGTAATTAAATGACGCAAGCTTGGCAACCTGGAGAGTGTTATCTTCAAGAAGTTGAACGACGTCATCAACTGATCCAAGAATGTAGCCCCTGTCAGAGGTGCCTTCAGTTCGTTCGTTTGGTTCGTTTATTTATTCATTTAATATTTTTGATTGTTAGTTAAAGAAAATTTCATTATTTATTTTTGTTTTTATTTGTAGTTGTTAATGCTGTTGACAATTTTTCAAATTTTTTTTTCATTAGTAGAGAACCAGGAGACAACCTTTCGTGTAATTTTGAACGTTGAATCTCAAGTTAGACCAAGTCTCTTCGACTTCTTTCAAACTCTTGAAAAAAATTATTCAACTAATAAAAAATAATTATTAAATAATAAAATTACTAAAACTTAATTATGAAAATATAATCCTCTGCCGGTTATAAACTACAATAAGATCCCACTTTTTCAATGGCAGATTCTTTGATGGCGCAGTTAACGATCTCTGCAATTTTATCTTGAAATCGGTGAAGTTGCATGGAAAAGATGTTTGCCAGTGTAAAAGTGTTCGGATCCATTTCGAAGTTTTGTCCGGTTTTCTCCATCAGCTCTTTCCAATGCCTGTTTCGAGTTTTTATTTCTTTAAAAATCAGAATCTGATAGACGCGGAAACTGGAAATATGTAGTAATGGGCGTATTGTAGCAATAGCATTTTACTACTAATAGTGAAGTAGTTATTGTGTCTCTTTACTATACTTTCTCAAGTATTTTTAAGAGATATCACAACAAAATCAGTACGTGTGAATATGCGTGGATGAAACAATCCATGCGTTTGATATGCGAAGATCATTTTGTATTCGAATTCGGTTTCTACAACAGTAGTGCCAGGTATATTAACCACTTGACCATCGCTTCACCCGTTTTAAATTTAAAAATTATATAAAAATTATTTATTACTGAAACTGATCTATTAGATCACATTTACGACAATAATGATAAAAAATATGAGATTTAAAAAATTAAAAATAATAAAAAAAGATGAAAAATTATGGCAAGTTATAAAAAAAAATTATAACAACACAACAACCAACCTATCCCTTAAAGCTTCATGTTTCAAATCCACAAAGAGAGGCAAAGAGTCTCTGAACTCCTTCATCTTCTCTTCCAGTATTCTACCCACAGACATGTTCTTCACCTCTTTTGGTAGCTTTCGAAGAGATTTCAAAAAGCCTTCTATGCCTGTTTAGTTAATGTGTGGTGTCCTCATTCACGATGACGTAAATATGACGGTGACTTCATAATGATGTGATACGATGATGGTGATGTGATGTGATACAATGTTGATGTTATAATGATATAAAAATGTTGATGTCACAATGATATGACGAGATAATAATGAAATGATAATGACCCAAAGTATGAAGCTATAACGATGAAGTAGATGATAACAATGACGAAGACCGTAAAGGTTTTTCAAAAATATAAAAGTAACGCGAAAGATAAAAATGCTGATGAAAACCGTAAAATGAATGAAGGCAAAATCAAAAGGCATCTGACCTTCTTGGAGCTGTTGCATGTTCAAATTGGCCCACAAACATTCGGCCCATTGTCCCCTGGCTCTCTAAGTAGTGTATGGTGGTAGAACATAATTAATTACTTTATTTTTTTATTAATTTATTCAACTAACATAATATGTCAATACAATTATCTCATATTATCAATTTAAATTATTTAAAAATTAATTTTTCATATTACGCGATAATACCTTTTGCTCTTGGTATATACTGTAAACTTGGTCCAATCCTTTCAATTCTTTCTGCACTTGCAATAAATCCTGTTTATGTATATACAATCTTCATGATGAAAAATGACGAATGTAACAATCACATTTGGATGGTTGCATTAAAATGATGGTGGCGATTATTGTAGCAATTACATTAAGATTATTACATTAAATGATGATAAATATGCAGACAGAAAAAAATGTGATGGTGACCTGAAAAATGGTAATCGGCAGATCAAAAAGTTTTTCGGCGCTGTTTAGCTCCTGACGTTTTTCCTCACATTCGTTTACTCGATTTTTATAAAGCGCTAACACTTCCATACCTTATCAGAATCAATTTTTTAATTGTATCTCTTAAGTTATTCAGTCATTCTTTCATCTATCTAGCTATTCATCCACCTAGACATCTATCCATTCATCTATCCATCCAAGATCATCCATCCATCTATCTATCCATCCATCCATCCATCTTACCAGCATCGAGATCCTCATCCACTACTCCAGGCCCTTCTGCTTGGAATTGTTCCTTCAATTCCTCCAAAACTTTTTTGAACTCTTTCATTTGAGCCAAGGTCAACTTCGCAAATTGCATTCAGTTAAATTTTATTGGTCGATATTTTTAAAATTTATCAAAGCAATTATTGAATTAATTAAAATTTATTATTTAAATAATATCTCAAACTAAAATAATAGTAAATAACTTTTTTCATTCGATTAACAAGTTTACTTATCAACAGACGTACAATCAGACAAACAAACGGCAGACAGATAGGCCGACAGACAGACAAACACACACACAGACAGACAGACAACCATAAACCACCTGTCTGAACTTTCTCTTAACAGACATGAGAGATGAATCGACATCCTTCGACTTAACAAACAACTTCCACCAAACGTTCATAAGATCGTTTGCTTCCAACAATTTTTCGCGAGAATTCTGGTAAAATAATTTCAACATGGTATAAAATTAATATTTTCTTATTATATTTTCATCACCTTTACTTCACTTTAGTCAAAAGGATTTAACTTTCGCACATACCAACAAATTACAAAGTTTATGTGTTCTTCCGAGACCAGCCAAATAACAAACCGAAATAATTATTTGCAATGAACATATATGAAGTAACCAGCAAGTTGTACATATCCAGTGTTCTGAATTGCTCTTGTACATCTCTAATCTGTGTTTCAACTTCGAGAGAGATTTCACTGACGTTTGATATAGTTCGTAGCACTAATTTCAAATCGTCCAAACTTTCTGGCGGTCTCTCTAAATCTTCCAACTTGCGCTGCCAACGAGAAAATTTAAAAATATTGACAAAAATAAATTTTCGTTCAAAAGACAACAGCAATTAAATATGAAACACAACAAAACAAAAGAATTACTTTCAATTTATTTTTGATCTTAGACAAGGCCTTCGCTGAAGATTGCATGAGAATCTTCTTGTAAGCATCGATCCACTGGACGGCATGATCCTTGATGGCTTCAATCAGAGGTTTGACGTGCATGAGCACGCAGCTGTGCACTTCCATGTCCGCAAACATCTCCAGCTCTTCAAGGCAGCGCTTGTAGTACTGAAATTTATCGTCGAAATCAACAATTGATGGATGACTTCTACTCGCAGCATCATCTTCGTCGTCGTCATCTTCGTCATCAGCAATGATTTTTTTGTCGTTATTGTCATTATTGCTCTCTGGTTGGTGGTTCGAACTGATGACGACTTGAGGTTTCTTAGTTTTTTTCTTTTTATTTCCATTGTACCACTTTTCAACAAAATTTGCCTGAAACAAAAATTAAGAAAGTTACCAGTATCGGTAAACTACAAAATACATTCATAAATATTTGAACCGCTGACAAATTAATTAATGAAGTTAACCTTGTCAGCCAGCCAGATGCTTCTGAAACGTTTGAAGTTCATTATGTTCTGAATTGCTCCGCCTACCAAATCTCTGCTGCATGCTTCGATCTCATCCAGCAACTCTAACACATCCTCGTTTTGCTTGAGATCGTCATAGAAACTGAACACCACCACTTCGTCTGTTCCACTCGCATCATCGTTTGCCGTTGCCGTCGTTGTCGTTGCTGTTGTAGTCGAAGTGGTCGCGATTGAAGCTTTCCGAGTTTTGTGATGATGTCGTGGTTGCTTGTGTATCGGTGGTGTTTCCAGGCAAGTGCCATTCATCCAACGAACAAAATGTTTCATGCTGTTACATACGCAGATAAAAGCAGAGTTAATAGACAAGTATTCAAAATTTGGTCAGGCTTACAAGTGTTTACAATCATCCAATGGTCATATGGAATTTAAAATATGGTAACAAACATAAAAAACAAACAAAGAAATAAATATAAACAAACGAACGTAAACAAACAAACATAAAGAGACCTCTCGACACATTCAGCAGCTGATTGCACTGTGAGTGTGTACACATCGTTAGCATTGGGAAGCATGACAACATGCGAGTTGAACAGGACAACATCGACTTGGAACAGTGGATCACCCGACGTCAAGCATTTCTTCAAAAATTTCAAATTACTCTCAACCATATTCACTAGCGTTTCAAAAATCTTCATTTCCCAGTATTGATAATAGTGAGCCATCATTTCGCAGCTACCCGAATTTGTGTTGTGCACCAAATTTTCTATCCTGATCAATAAAGGACCAATCTTTTTGTAGATGAAGGTCAAGTTGGCGATGTCTTGCGAACGAGTTTCGTCCATAGCGTTGAAGAAATCTTTGCAGTTCATGAGAGAATTGTGCATTTTCTTCAACCATATATCTCTAGATTCTTTGAAAATGACACCAGCTGTTTCATCAGTTGAGTTGTCGATTTTAGGGTCAGCAGTTTGGTCAGCTGTTTGGTCAGCTGTCTGGTCAGTTGTTTCATCAGCAGCTTGAATAGTATCATTATTTTTCGTTTCATTTGTTGCGTCAGATTCAATTGCAGTGTTGTTATTTGCTACGAGGTCCTCCTTATCTTCGTGTTTGAAAGATCGCTCGATGGCCCTGGAGCTGATTACACTAACGTTCGATCCCTTATTCTCGCGTCTGTCCGTTACTATTACGTCATCGTTTTCAGTGACGTCATTTCTGTTTTCGCTGTCAGTTGTCGAATTAATTTCTGAGGAAATATTGATCGTCGGAAATTTGAAGAGGCTGCATGATCCTATCGTGGAGAGAATTTTCTCAATGTCTCGCGAATGCTTTTTTATTTGGTTGACGAGCGATTCATATTTCCTGATGGCCTAATTTTTTTTATTTTAATTTTATTTATATTCTTTTAAATTCATTTTCTTAATAAATTTAATTCAAATAAATAAATCAATATTAATTATAAAAATTTAGAAAATAATTATTCCACGTCTGCCAACCAATCAGTCAATCAACCAATCCTCATACCTAACCAACCTCGTTACACCTCTGCACGTAATCTAAGGTACTCAGTGATGTCCAGTTGAACCGGCTGGCTCCTGGCATCAACACCTTCTCGAGGTCATTGGTCTGCTTAGCCAGGAGGATTCGCTAGAATTAAAAACATGTTTTTTGAAAGCGTTGCTGGCTTGAAAATTCCGACGATAGAATAATTATCGAAATTTTAAATTTACTGAGAACATTTATCTAAAGTAACAAAACTTCAAAAACTCTAAAAAAAACCAAAACCATCAAAGCAACAAAAAGATATGGTGGATAAAATTAAATAATGAAAATATTAATTGAAGTAATAAAAAAAAATGTCAAATAAAAATGTCAAATAAATAGACAAACAAATAAATAAAAACCTCAGCGCGTGAAAGTTGACTGATGACTTTGTGGTAACTAATCAACATCATGAACAGCTGATCGTAGTTCCTTATCAATGTTTCCTCCTATCATTTCATCCCAATTTTAGTTTGAAAAATTCAAAAATTTCGATTAAACTCAAAATCTTTTCATACCACAAAACGTAATAAGCGCATTATATCTTATCTATGAACAACAAATACATTATACAGACTTGTAGGGCGATGTTGTGAGCGAGTTGTGGTACGGTAAAACCGAGGACTTCGAGATGTTTGGTTTCTCGTATGATCTGCATCAGTTTCTCGCTCATGTTCAGCGTGAAGTGGTGCATCTCTGATTATTATAAAGTTGTGTATTTACTACTACTAATAATTATTATTAAATTATAATTGATAATTTTTCATAACTATAGTTATCATTGTCATTGTTGCTCATGACTAAAAACTAAAAAACTCGAATGCAACTTTTCAGTTCGATACCATTTTGTTTGTCGCTGACACCATCCACTACGTCGTCGTCGTCCATATTTTTATTATTTTTTTTCATTTTATTCTTATTATCGTTTTTGTTGTTATTATTGTTGGCGTTGTTGTGCCTGTCGACGCTGACGTCATGATGGGTTTTCTTAATAAGACTCATCTTTAGTAGGACTGGCAGGGCGCTGCTAGTTTCACTGGACCACCTGGCAAACTCGCTATTCTCGTGCGCCGTCATCTCCTTCGATAGCGTCAGATACTTCGATTTTATCTGTTTCGAAGTTTGATTTTAATCAGAAAAATTATTAAATTAACCAAACCGAACACAGTTATTAAAAATTAGTTAGTTTAACTAATAATCAATATCTGTAAACGGTTATGAATGTAGTTAATTGGAAACGATGGAAGTTATCATTTCTTCAAATATACAGTGCAATGATAAGCAAGGATCATTTTGCATTTGAGCCAAGACATTACATAACAAAAAACATACACTTTATCGCCACGCCACCCAAACACTTGAATACTAAACCATCATCACTAGCATTTTTTCCGAGTTCAGTTTGCATGATATTCTGGTTGTCCATTAGTTTCAACATGGTCTCCTTCATCTTACTGAATAACGAGCGCGTCCAGCTGATGCTGCCACTGACTGGCGGAAGGTTCTTCAACGCACGTGGTGTCGCCTGGTGTTCCCTGAATGTTCTCTCTATCTCATCTATCTGGTGGCAGTGATGGCGGTGGCTTCAACTACAACAAATGCAACAGCAACAGCAACAGATAAATCATTGGATGAACACAAGTGAGAATAAGAAGAAACCTCTCTTCCGAACTGCAGGAGAACGTCATTGAACTTTCTGGACAGGAGAGCCTTGATAGACGGCTTCGACTTGATGGACTGGAGCTTCACCAGCATCTCGAACGCTCCATTCGCACCTCGCAGAAACTTGAAGAGGTCGTCGAAAAATTTTCTGATCTCATGTTCGATTGTTGAAGAATTGTTCTCAAATTTGTTCAGTACATGGTGCCACTTTTTGGAATTTAAAGGGTCGTATGCATCAAATTGTATCTGGTTGATTGAATTTTCAGTTGGTTCATTGAGTTGTGGGAATCATATTTGTCAAAAGAAATATTGAGCTAACTTCAACAGCTGGGACGACTAGATTGTTAACTTTGTTTAAGAGATCTTCAATTCGTTTCTTATCACTTGTCAATGTTTCTAGCTCGGGTCCTAGAACGTTTTTGAACTCCAACAACACCTTCAGTTTTCAACATCAACTATTTGTAAATTAGCTAAAAAAAATAAATGAAAAAATTAAAAGATATTATGAATAATGTGAACAAATAAGGCACTAGTGGTGACAAAATTAAAAAAAATTGAATAAATTGAAAAAAATTTCGCCAAACCTCAGCCATGTTTCCAAGATCGTTACAAATGGTGGCCATATAATCCGTCCTCTCGAACAACTTTTTCCGGTCAAACTCCCACCGTGCATCCCTACCGCCCACCTCTATTTTCTCCCGGACGTCCAGGTAGCTCTGTTTCCATAGCAACAACATCTCCCTTGCCGCCGATGTTTTGTTTTTTATCACATCCGGGCTGTCCCTGGTCACGTGGTCACGATAATTTATTATGAATATAATTATTATAATTATATTATTATAATTACAATTATTATTAACGTTAATGTCGATAACGAAATTAATAAGCAATGATTAAAAGTAACATCACCACATTACCACATCAATCCTCACATCAATCAATCATCACATCGATCATCACATTAATCATCACATCAATCATCATCACATCATCACCAACTTTAAAAGTAATTGTAGTGGAATGGCCTTAGAAACTCTCTGGCACAACTGCCAAGCAATCCTCTGCATCAGAGGCACCATACGTTCGTCTGTGTTGTAATAGCGTGATACCACCCAAATCTTGTGATGAGATGGTGAGGAAAATGGAGAGGTGAGATAGTGAGGAGAATTAAGGGGTGAGATGGTGATGAAAATTTAGAGGTGAGATGGTGAGAAAAATAAAGAAAAATGTGAGAAATGTGAGTTGCTATTTAATTACATAATTGACGATTTTTTTTTATTTTTTGTTACACGGTGGCAATTCTTATATGCGAAGATTCAAATTATAATTTTTGAAAAACTTTATAAAAGTAAAAAATAACCAAAGAACAACAATGGAACAACAATGGAACAACAAATAACAAGAAACAATAACAACAACAAAACTGCGAAAAACAACGGCAACCATTTTAATAGAGTTCATCATAGGTTCAATGGTGCTGATGCAACTTTCAAATGTGGCTCCGTACGTTATGTTTTTAAAATGTCGTTCCAGTGTACATAGAAACCTGGAGGTGTCTCGCGCTTCAATCTGCATCTGCCCAAATATTATTTTGTGATGTTGTCCTGATGTTATGTTGATGTGATGTTGTCGTGATGTTGATGTGATGTTGTCGTGATGTTGCTGTGATGTTGTCGTGATGTTGATGTGATTGAATGTGATGTTGTCGTGATGTTGATGTGATGTCGTCGTGATGTTGTCGTGATGTTGATGTGATGTTGTCGTGATGTTGATGTGATGTTGATGTGATGTTGATTGGGTGTGGTGTGGTGATATGTGAGGTGATGTTAGATATGTGGAATTGCTAATGGTGGTGGCGAATAGATAGTCGTATTGGGGATAAAATAAAACCCTACTTTCACGATATTTTCTTTCAAATAGTCCAGATCAACTTCATCGTCTTCGCCATCGTTATTGTTATTGTTGTCTCCAACACTGCTACCTACTACATTTTGTAGTGCTTGGTGATGCTGGTTAGTGTTGTCGTAGTAGTAGTTGTGTTTACTGACGCGTCTCAGACGACTCAGTCTTTCGTGCATATTAAATAATTTCAGAGTCCTAGGCGATATTAGCTGAGCCACTAATTTATTCAAAATGGCCGCCCGATCTTTCCAGAATTCCACTTCCGCCAGAGGACCACCATCGTGCGGTTGTTTCTTTTGCAGTGACGTCATAACAGTTTCCATCTTCTTACGCCATTCCTGGCAGACTTGCTCAATTTGATGTTTGATCTCGTTTGATTCCAGAAACGAATCCGTGTCGGATTCTGGTATCAATCATGTTTATCTACTACAATGTTACTTTATTTTTAAAATTAATTGTAAACATCCAAACTTGTTATTCCTATTGTTATTTTTGAATATTAATTTTTTTTATAACCGAGAGCTAAGAGGACATCATTAGAGAGGTGGGGTCCCGCCTCGTCATCATCTGCATCACCTTCATGTACGAACTTGTTCAAGTCCCTTGCGAATCTTGTGACAAAGTTTAAGAGCATTTTAACGATGCGTGCGATTGTTTTGTTGAATGTAAAAAATTTTGTTAATTGACACAAAATTTTTGATCATCATTGAGTTTTAATGTTTAACTCTGCTGTTATATATTATTATTATTATTATATAGCCATCATGGAAAAATTAATAATCATCTTAATCATCCTCATCATATCATCGCATGCTATGGCAAAACTTCACTTCGTCATTTCGACAATGAGTTCATCCCGGAGTAACGGAGCAATGGATGTTATGGGTTGGTTGTTCCCTTGAGGACCATCTGCATTCCCATCACGATCACCAAGAGTCAAGTGGCTTGGTTGGTTGCGTGATTTCGAACGAAATGAGGACTGTTGAGATGGGGGACGAGAAGTTATTCTTCTTACTGATGGCGTTGAGGCTGTTGTTTTTAATGTCGTCGTTGTTGTTGTCGCTGCTATTGTTGTAGTTGTTGTTTTCGATGTAGTCGCGGCGGTTGCAGCCGTTGACGCCGCTGACGGTTTGCGTGACGTCATGAGGAAGTTTTCAGTCGCCTCTTGGTTGCGATCGTATTGGTAGGAGTGCAGTGGGATGTAGAGCTATGATAGTGAAGATGAAAATTAGATTATTAGCTTCGAGCGTTCGTAAAATTAAAAAAATAATTCAAACACCTGGTTAATTAACTGCTCTAAATAAAGCATGGGATTGTCATTCAGGTATCCGGTATTACAGTTCCTGGCCATTGCAACGTACGTATCATCTTCTGTTTTTGTTACTGGGATGGGATTATCAGTGGAACGTGTGATGTAAAAGTATGAAGTTTGATCGCTAGGCAGCATGTTTATTGTTCCAAACTTTATCACCGTTTTTTCGATTATTCTCTTTGTAAATTTCTGAGAAATTGTAGATGTGGGTTTTGATAATGGAGGCCAGAGTAACTTAATAATTTGTCAAAAGCGTTAGATTAAGCATAAGCAATTTTTTTATATAAAAAAAATATTTTGTGGCACTAAATTGAGCGTTGGTCAAACGACAAATTATAAAGAAACATTTTTTATTCTTTATTATGTAGTTCTGAAATAGGCAGAACTGCTGAAATGAAATATTCGTATAAATAAATTTTTGTGTTACAAACGCTATAATATAGAAATAAAAGGATTATATTCATAAATTCATGACAAAAAACAATAGACATATGCACGAGCGATGAGCGTTCGCTAGGAAGAAGGAAGTTTTATTTTGCATTCGAATCAGGCAGTGGCGCAATTTCACTACGAAACTCCAATAAATTTATTAATTCAAGTTACTTTTTTCATTGATTCACTTTCATCATTTTGATCATTTGCTTCTGGTTTTGCTCTAGACTCTGTGCATAAAAATTAAGTTTTTCAGTTGAAATAAATTTTTAAAATAATTTTATTCATACCCTCTTTCAACGTAACTTCATCATTCTGTTCTTCATTTTCATCTTCTTCGATCTCAACATCAACTTCCTCCTTCAAAATATTCTTCAAAAACACCAGAGTCCCAGAATATACATCACCTTCTTTGGGGTACTTTAAGAATTGTTCAAAAACTTTCTTACACTTCTCATCCTCAACGCCTTCGTTGTCATCTTCTTTCTCGTCGTTCGGCAGCAGTTCGTAGTGCACTGTAACATCATCTTCAATGTCGTATGAACACCTAACTCTCTCTTTCATCCATTCTATCTGTAAGTTTGTCATTTACGAGTGTGTTGAACCTGCAGAAACCAAAAATAGTTGAGATTAGTTAAAACAAGATTATGCAAACAGATTCCAAGTTTTTAAGCAAAGCTATCATCATGGTTATTTTACTTTTAAAAAGTTACACGCGTAACTACTGGCAACGGTCTGCCAAGTGCCCTTAGAATCAAAGATATTAAACATTTAGCTCTCTATTTACAACTGAAACTCTTTTAAATGATAGACAATTCAGCTTATTCATCAAGCTTTTCCTAACTTATTAAATGAAACGCTATTTGCTGACTTAAAAACCAACACTAGGTAGAAGGATAGTCTGTATTTTTCAAAATTTCTTACTAAGATTCGATTCATCATTAGTCGAATTTGTGAGATGCAAGCTTAGTATACCTCTGCAAAAAAGGGTGCGCACTCAGACTGCATCCACTAACATTGTTAATTATATTTTAAAACGTTTGTTTCAACCCGAACACGACTTTTAAATGTAAGACTATGTCAAATTTTGATCCGATCACACTCACTTGAGTCCTTTTCCAAATTATGAATCTCGAGAAGTAGTACAAAAATATACGAGTAACGAGGGACATTTTTCCATGGAAAAGCCTTGATGGCATGAAGTCCGACTACTCCATGAAAGACAAATGAGACACGAACGGGCACTACAGTTCCAAAAGAGGACAGTGCATCGAGAAGAAAGAGCGTATCAGAGAAGTTAGTACTTGATCAGATGCACGTGAGAGAGAGATAGATAGATAGATGGATGGATGGATGGATGGATGGATGGATGGATGGATGGTTGGATGGATGGATGGATGG